ATCTGTTCAGTTAACGAATCTCCATAAAATGACGTGTAAAATTACAATTTTTTAAAATTTTAATAACTTTAGAATTGAAAGAGGAACGTTCTTCCAAATTTTTATTTGTCTCGTAGCATTTTGACATACCTCCAAAACATCCTTAAGGATAGATATACGTACATATACATACATGGGCAAAAGATTACCATGCCTTTAATTATTAATATCATATTTACAACTGCAAATAGAGATAACCATGAGAAAGCTTACTTAATTGGTGGTGCATAAAATGTGATAAGAATGTACAACAAATTTTGTCTTATTAATATAATATACCATATAAGTACAATATTGTTTACGCATTTCGTTAGTGTGCAAATGTAGATACGTGCAATAAATGTCTGGCGAGACTGTTTTTTTTTTTATTTAGAATAATAAATGTCTTTTATTATCAGCGTTATCAGTGTTTTTTGAATAGCAACATTTTTCAGAAAATACCATGCGTTCCTGCGTGTCCAATATACCTACTTTGCGTAGAGTAAAATATTACTTTAGCGTTAGGTGCAACATTGTTAACAACGCGATAGAATTTTATTGTTTTTTTTAAGTGTAGCAAAAAAATAATTATGTCTTCAGTGGTCCAATTCGGTCTACTGATAATCATATTATCGGGAAGTGTGAAAAGTGCGAATATTTTAGGATTTTTCCCTATCGCTGCGGTCAGTCACCAAAAATTTTTCCAACCCATTTGGAGGGAACTGTCTTTGCGCGGACACAACGTGACCGTTTACACCCCAAACCCATTACAAAATTCGTCTTTAGTTAATTTAACGGAAATAGATCTTAGCGATTTATACGATTACATGGGCAAAGGTCAGATAAAGGAAGTGATGCGTGGATCAACTTCGCCTTATCAGGCATTCCACGTAATTTACGAAACATTAGTGATGCCGCTGCTTGAGGTGTTCGAAAATCATGTCGAAATTCAAAAATTTTTACGCGACAACACATCTCAATACGATGTGGTTCTAGTGGAACCATTTCCTCTAGTTTTCCTTGCCCTAGGAAGCAAATTTAATTGCCCGGTGATATCGGTCGTTTCTTTAAATCCATTCACACCCATACACGAATCGGTAGGAAACGTAATCCATCCAGTTTTTTATCCCGATGTCCCGTTATCTTACGTCCACGATCTTAACTTTTTCGAAAGACTTTATAATACGTTCCAAACGTTGAAGATCATGATTTACCACGAATATAATCTGTTAGCCCGATGTGACGAATACATAAAGAAGAATATCGGTGAAAATATACCACCAATTCGTGAAATAAGTAGAAATATTAGTGCTCTATTCCTTAGTTTGAACCCCATATTTAATATTGTTCGACCTTTAAGCCCTTTGACAATTCCCATGTCATTTATGCATGTTCAACCTCCAAAGGAATTGCCCCAGGTATGTATATTCTACGGAAAAAACTAAATTCTTATGATAACGCAAAAATTACAACTTTCGATTGTAAATGACTTAATTTGCCGTAGAAATAGTAGAACTTATTGGGTAACTTGTAATAATCTCAATTTTGACATGTTTTCTAAAAATTATTTAAAGTTTCTTAATTGTTACAATTTTATTTGTAATATCAACTAAAGTACCTAGTAAATTTATTTCTGCTGGAATTTTATATTTACAAATTCCGATTCAAATTGTAATTTTTATTATTTTCGCTTACGAAGCAACGGGCTAGTGGGATAAATTGTAAATATCGCTTTAATATTTAGGTAAATTTTCCTTTTTAATTTTTATCCGCGTAGTATTCTAAAATAAGAAGAAAATGTTGCATTATTTGGAAATTGAACACGAACAGACCGAAACGTTAATTATATTAATAGTGATGAGCAAAGCTAGGCCAAATCCTAGTTTTGGTATTGGTCTTGACTTCCTTATTCGGTCTTGACTTTGGACTTCCACAAATACTTCTAGTCTTCGTCTTGGTCTTTCGTGTTAAGTCTTGGTTTTGCTTATTTAATTTGATATTTACGTTTTTCCAACACAATAATTGTCTTAAATACTGAAATTTTCTGTCATACATGCCAACTTGTCATGGGTTTTAGAGAAAATAGTATTGATAGTTGTGAGAGTTATGAAAACTCCAGAACTTACCCTTTCTTCAACGCATAAACTGATCTTTTAACAAAAAAATTAGTACAAGGTGGTACTTGAAAGAAGTAAAATATCAGAAAAAAAAATAGTTTGCCACTGAATTCATCTATCTATCTGTTTTCCAGACAAAGCAACAAAGAACACTTATTTCGAGGACATTCCTCTAGATCACTTTTTTGACGTGACAACGTCTTATAATTCGATGGAGCCGGCTGCACGCACGAAAAAACTTGACTCATGCGTCGTTACCTCGCTCTGAGGCGTTCCATTTAAGGCTTGAAGTGCAAGCGAGAGCGCGGAACGAGCGACAAAGAGGCACAATCAGCCTCCGCGTTCGGCAGCGTTCAATTCTGTCTCTCTCCTACTTGAGTGAGCGAGGCGTCCGCGTGGACAGCTGCTATACAATAATACATTTCCATTTACCTCCTTCTCTATATCCATACAAAATATCTATCAAACAAATAAAATTAAAA